TCTCTCTATATACTGGGCTGTATGTAGCGGAGATGACAATAAAGTTTACTTTGACTTCAGCAGCGCGCAGGCGCACCGAGGGCTCTCGCGCTCACTTTTCGCTTATAGAATTTCGAAAAACATCGGTGCAAATTATAAGTCTGTATCATGATGTCTGGTGTTTCCGTGTTTGTTGGTTTGTTTTTATTTTGCAAGTTGGTTATTAGATGTCGATCCAGCTGGTCAGAAAATCCCCCGCCGCCCTCTCCTCTCCTCCCTGGGCGCACCTCGCAAACGGAGGGCGCCCTTACTCCCAGCAAATGGGCGATAGAAAACCGATCGGTGCCTATGCCATTTCCAATATGTGCTTGGTGACGTCGGGGCAGCATGAGTTAGAGCATTTTTTTTTTTTGCCGATGTCCGTGATGCTGCCCCGCACCACGATGCCACCCGGGCAACCGCCCGTGTCGCCCGTATCTAAAACTGCTACTGGGAGCGGGGGAGAACGAGGAACAGGTGAAATAACAGCTGGAACCAATTGGGCAAATTGAGACCAGGTGCGGAAAACAGAATACACCAACAGAAGACACAGAGTTTAAAAGTAAAAACAGGAAATCCATAGACAAATCTCAGAGGCACAGAACTAAACTTATATTAAACACTACAGATAACAAATTACAATAACAATACACTCAGTCACTGACCCAGGACCGTGACTGTTTTGCTTTATAAATAAAGTTAGCTTGGCTTTATTCAATTCAACTTTATTTATATTGCCCCAATTTACAGCAACAGTTCCCTCAGTAAAATAAACCTTACAGTAACAAACACAGTATATTAGCACAGTCTGTAGAATAGTTTATTAGCAAAATAGTTCAATAGCATCAATCTAACTCAGATTCGCCAATTCTCTGTTGAATAATAGAGTTTAATCTGAAACAACTTCATGGTTGAAAAATACAATATGAAAAAACCAACAGGGTGTTCTAGACCTTTTAAAGCTAATGTTGCTCACTGTAAGCTAATTATGTCACCATGAATACAGCATCAATAATAATGTAATCACCTTTAAATATAAACGGTTCTAAGTGTATATATGATCAATTTATTGAGTATATATACACCGATAAATAGAACAGAGGACTTCTCCCTTTCACTGTGCTGCTCTGAGGTTACAGCTGAAGGGAACTTTCTGGACTTGTGAAATTTCCTGTTTATTCTCATATTTCTTTACAGTAAATCTCAGGAAGTGTGTTTAATTCCCCATAAAAGCAGATAAATCAGATAAAAAGTGGTACACGAGTCGGTGGTCGTTCATGTATGACTGTGGCAGAAAATAACCCAGAAGTCCCTCTGTTTGTTCAGACAGCACTGACCCTGTAAAACCCAAACACTGATACTACTAACTAGTAACAACTACTACTACTACTACTACTACTACTACCACTACCTAGAATAAGCTGTCGTCAAGTCAGTTAGAGCTCTGAGCAGAAGGTGGGAATGTGTTTCAGACTTACAGAAACAGGAGCGCTGATGATACTTTGGAGGGTTTCTGATCCGAGCAGCTGTGAAAGACGGCAGGAAGAGGAAGATTGAGTAATATGAGGCAAGTATGAAGTGTGGTCACACCTCTGCTGACTATTACACATGAAGCTTTAAAACAGTCCTGATGTCTCAAAGCACATCAGGACTTTAACAGGCTTCATTTTTCAGTGTGGAAGGAAAAAAGCAGGACTTTCTGTCCTAAACCTTAAGAACATAATCTGACTCGTATGTGAGGGTTTGCTGCCCCCTTGAGGACAGAGCAGTGTGAAAATTCAGAAATCAGCATTTTAATCTGCTGTTTAAAATACTGCGTAGTCTGAAGCAAAAAAACAAAAACATGCTCACCAGCGTGGAACTCCATAATTAACCTAAAACTGGTCAATGGTAGCCCATAATTATTTAAGACAGCTGACTGAAAAGGTAGTCCGTCAGGTCCTTTTTGATCCCTGGGTCATCTGCAGAAATTACACTGTACTCCACATCCAGTTTAGGCCATTCCTCCTTTGACTTATAGAGAAATTCTGGCCCATTTATCCATGTCCTACATTTGAGGAAGTCCCCAGCTCTCATGCCTCTGGATGCGTCATCTGCAGGATTCTCCTTGGAAGAAACATATCTCCACTGATTCACATCTGTTGCTTCTCGAATGACAGCAATTCTGTTTGCAGCAAAGATACTAAATGTTTGGTTTTCATTGGAGATGCATTGTATTATATTAGTCCAGAAAAATGATTTGTCCAACCTTATCTGCAACTCTCTTTGTAGAAGCATGTTCACTGGAACTGCAAGAGCTGCAGCAGTGAATTCCACCCTGGGAATTGTAGTTTTCTTAAGGGGAGCAACCCTAGCTTTTCCCAGGATAAAGTCAACGTGTGATGTTATTCTTTTTCAGTTTTAAATATGACACTGTTCCATAACTATCTTGACTTGCATCAGAAGAATGATGAAGTTGTGCCTTATCTGGTCTTCCATAGAAACTCAGTTTAATGCAGCGTTTCACTTTTAAATCAGCTGGAGAGCTTCCAGATGATGTAGGGAGACAAAGGTCCATACAATGAGCTGACCACAGACTAAATGTGCCTTCTGGTTGGTGGATTGTCCTGCACAAAGGTGAACTCATCTGTTTCTATGCACCACTCTAAACCCACTGCTCTCTCACTTGGAAGTTGATCTGTGTCCAAATCCAGATCCTTGATTTTCTTTGCTCTCCTTTCCTGTGGGATTGACATGAGCACTGTGCGACTATTACTGATCCATTAGTACAAATATCAGTCAGGCTCTCCACCATATGTACTTTTATTCTTATGAAGCAATAGATTATAAACATAAAACTTATTTTTGACTCTATTCACCACTTCAGCTGGAAACTGTTGTGCATTATCATTTGCAGTTCTCTGCAGAGCATAATTTGGACACTTTGGTTAAGATACTCCTCCTCCAAGAAAAAAAAAAAAGCAGCACTTTCATCCTATACTCTTGTGCAGGCCTTGTAGTGTCACCATGTTGCCACCACAGGAAACAGACACTTGACATGTTTCTCTAATATGTAAACTTGGTGAAGCATGGCATCGGTCAGCCATTAGTGCAACAGGCTCTTGTCTAAATTGGATGAGAACTCTTATGATCTGCAGACACAAATTCAGCACATCCTTCCAGCATGTTGTTTACACATGTGGTGTATTCGTCTTTATAGCGAGCATCCTTTTCAGGCTCTAGAGGCACTGCTTTTCAAATCAATTTACACAGTGTCAAATCATAACAACAGTTGCCTCACGGCGCTTTATGTTGTAGACCCTACAAAAATACATACAGAGAAAATCCCAACAATCATATGACCCCCTGAGCAAGCACTTTGGCGACAGTGGGAAGGAAAAGCTCCGTTAACAGGAAGAAACCTCCAGCAGTACCATAGCCAGGTGACGAAGGCTGTCACAATTCATCGACTCCTTCAAATGTGGCGAAAAATGAGTCCGTCATTTCAATTTGAAGGGTGGGTCGTGTGTATCCTTTGTAGCCCACCATATCCCAGAATTCATAGCGCGGCTCTGCCGATTCCAGTTTCCAGCAATGGCGGCAGCTATGGAGGTGCTAGACACAGCGGTCAAGGACAACTACATTTTTAAATGTAAGTTGTTTTTGAAGTAGTGACACAAATGTTAAGACGTTGATGTTAATTTTTACAGTCGTTAAACTTATGACATGTACATAGGTCACGTAGACGTACAGTTCCGCTCATTTTTAACATTAAAAGGTTAGTTAATATTACTCAGTGTCACAATATAAACTTAACATATTTTCAGGCAAGAATGTATCTGTGTAAACTTCAAATATATACTCTGTTTATCAAGACATCACATAATTGCAAAAGTGCGCCGACGTTTTCAGAGAC